ATTTATTTGATTCAGCGGAAAAAAGTTACATTCGAAAAACAATTTCGGCGAAGACTTTTGACCGCTACTGTATATATGTGATGTGTGTATGCTTGTATGCGTGCGTGCGTATCGTGTATTTGTATGTTTGTGTTGGACCGGAAATTCATAGCGCGCGTACCATCTGTCGTTAGAAGGCGTCGACAGGCTGACGCGCATGCGCGTTAGGAATTTTGCGCCGCATCGGAACTTCTGACGCTCATGCGCGTTAGAACTATGATATTCGTTTTTATTGTACTTGCGCTCCTTCTTCTAGTTTTTTGTATTCATTCCATAGATAATACTTCAGCATAACTATTAACCTCATGGCGGCCAGGGTGGTCAAATAACCCTAGATTTAGTATTTTTAGAAGCTAAACTTCAATTGCAATTCTTCCCTGGTATTCCTTTAATTGTCGTGAACATTCATATGAAAGAATGTAGAAGCAGTCAATACAAAACTCTGTGAGTTTCAAGATATCTGTATTCGATGGGAGAACTTGTAAAATACTTTTCACTTCATTCGCAGCGGAAGTGACGTTTTTTTTGCTTATTCGCGGTCATTATGCGTTCTTCTGAAGAAAAATCTGCTGACATTTATATAGTTTACCCTTATGCTTTCATCCTTGCCAAAATAATTCTATGAGATTCAAATTTTTGTGCGTTTTCAACAAAAAATAAGCGGAATCAAGGTGCGGACGACGCGCTCGCAATATCGCTCCTGTCCCACGTGGTGCGAAATGCCAAAACACGCGATGTCGTCAACGTGTTAATATATGGGTTAGATGGGAGCATATCTGGTGGAGACATAAAGTGACAACAGCTGATATGAGCTGATAAGAGGCGTTGATAGCAAATGTCACGAACAGGGCACGGTCCAGCAGCATTGTGCCGTTGCTTTGCAGGTATAATATATGGGTGGGACAGGAACATATTTAGTGGGGACCAGGAAGTTAACATCTGATAAAGGCTGATGAGGAGCGATAGAATGCAAATCTCATCAAATTCATAAGGCGTGGCTCAGCAACAACGAGGTGCCGTGTTTTAGATATTATGTAGGAAACGGGACGGGAACGCATGCGGTGGGTGACAAAACGAGATAACAGCCGATAAGACTGAGGAAAGGGTTAGCTCGAAAACATAGAAGTCATTATGTTTGTGATCTAGATGCGCGATAAGGGAAACACCATTCTATTCGCGATGGCGTCATCAGCATCCTTTCGACCGCTAATTTGAATAAGTCCCTTAAATGCTCGATCTTTATGGGAATACGAGGGGTGTTTCCATCCCATTGCCTCCAGTATAAGAAATTGTTCAACCGCTTACACATTACATCGTCCGAACCAGAGTATTTGTTCACGCTAGGGCTTGATAGTAGGCAGCCAAAGTAACTGCATTGGTTATTCCAAAATTGATTAATTAATTCTAAGATCCGCTAGACAATGTTACTTTTCGAAAAATGATGGATGTTTATAAGAACTGACCTATGAGAAACTACAGCTTTATCACAAGTTCTGTAGTAACCTTTCGTTAATAACATCAGCCAAGTGCATCAAATCGTGTGGAAGTTTCACAAGAATATTTCGCCTACAACTTTCAGCAGCGTCGGTGGTGTAGTGGATAACGCTGTGGACTTCAATTGGCACGCTCGGTTGGGTTGGTGGTCAGGATCCCCGAAGCTTCGCGCCTTTTGCATTTTTTGTTAGGGCTTCCATATAGGCTCGAAATTGCACTAGTGCCAAAGTGGATGTCTTATTCAAGACCAGAATTATTGATAACCATTGACCCTGAGGTAAGCTTTCACTGAAAGCAGGCAAAAAGATGTACAGTCGAAATGGCGCCGGATAGCGGATAGCGATTCAAGTGTACTAGAAAGCTCATTGAAAATTTTAAGCGATGCCGCTCAATCCATTGATCTTGAGATTCACCCAGGCAAAACTCAATAAATGAAGAACAGTTTCACGAGAGATTACTGCACATTGCAGGCTCAGTCATCGGAGAAGTCTCTTCATACGTTTACCTAAGCTAGGCAATCACAAAGGACAATAATCTCGTTATCGAAATAGGCCGTCGCCGTTAATCAGACCGGGCAACATCAATAAGTATCGTTGCGCTCTTACTGATATAAGGCTTGACGCTCAGATGAAAGGCTGAGTGTTCAACATTTATGTCCTAACAGCTATGGTGTACGGATGTGTGAAGATGGACCACGGTAAAAGATGAAGAACGAAACACAATAAAGGACCGTGTGACGTCTTGGTCAATGTTATCAGTGGTCCTTCAGGTTTTATGCGTTTCATCCTAAATCGCATTCGTCAAAATTTCAACAAAAACAGATGTAGAGAGCAGGCCAGTTTCCGCGGAGGATTTTTCACTATTGATCAAATCCATGTGGTCTCTCAACTTACGGAACTTGCTCAAGAACAGGATTCGTTGAGATTTAACGCGGAGTACGACAAGGCTAACGATCATTTCTCCGAACCTCTTTTCTACTGCTCTAGAACTTTATACTGTGTTTTTCATACGTCATCACATCAACCAATACACATACAAATCTTGGGAAAGTAAAAGTAATGGTGAAACGACATCGAACATCGACAAGTCTACTTGTAAGCCTTGTAATGGAAAGTATCCGAATGCATTGCGATTGTACTTGTTGGTTATGATCCGAGTGTGCTCGAGAACTCATCGGAGATTCTAAGCAATGGATCTCGCTTCATTGGACTTTAAATCCACTCACGCAAGCTATATGGATGAGGAACAGTTTCACGAGAGATTACTGCTTACGCATAAAAGGCTCTGTCAGTGAACAAGTCCCGCCATAAGTTTATCAAGGCTAAGCCATCACAATGGCCAATGATCGAAATAGGCGCCACCATAAGGCAAGGAAACAATATCGTGATTTTCTAAGTGGTAAGCGGTTTGACACCTCCTCAAAAGGCAAAGGAACGAGCGATGTGCACTGTTACGTTTATGCATCAAATTCCTGCTCGTGAAATTCGAAGGCGAAACGGTGTCAGCGATGTGATCGAGACTATCAAAGAAGAAGGGATGGGCAGGACATGTGGCTCGTCTTAGCGATAACTATTGGACATCCTGCGTGACCGATTGGTATCCCCGTGGAGTAAAAAGCAGCAGGGAAGAACCCCAGCCAGGTGGAGCAATCCTATTAGAGTGATCATTATTATCCTATTGAAACTTTTTGGACAGAGATGGCATTGGTTGGATGAGCGATAAGTGTATGTGATATAGTAATTGACGAGACAGGGTTGGTTGAATTTTTGGAGTGTGAGCTTATGTCGGCACCTTTAAGGGCCGCAATTCGGTCTCTTCTTTGTTTATCCATGACCTGCAATGTTGCAGAAATGGTTACAGTTTTAGCATCAGGCCCAGTGAAAGGTCGGCCCATGAAAGCATGAAAAAACCCGTCATGTTCAGAAATCGTACAAGAATCATAGCTAATTTAGAACATCACTGGAAAGTGGCGCGCAGAACCATCTTCCGAGTTCTGGGGTCAGTATGATTCGGGGACTACCTATGTCGGCCGAAAAAAGTTAGTTTGCTTTTCAACTGAATGAGAGGATAGGCAACTGGTAAGAGTCGAGAGGTTGCGCAAAAGACATGATTGACATGAAGATGACAATGACGCGCAAATGTTTAAGTTTTATGCCTCCAGGAATGAGAGACAGGAGCTAAAACCAAAGAAAGAGAAAGGCGTCAAACCTGACTACGTAGGAGGGAGATAGGAGCAAGAGTTGTTGTGTTTATAACGGTAACGGAGTCCTTTAGGGTTCAATTCGCAGCTGTAAACTGGATCTGCCATTGAATCATGATTCTAAGAATAGACTCGAATGACAGTTACTGGACAATGTGCGCCGTAAACAAGCTATGATCAGATCGATTCGGAAGGTGAATCTCTTCACATAAAGAAGAATACCCGTTGCTTGGCCGTCACATATTTTCCATTATCCCCGCCTTCAAACAGAAGGAGAAGCGATGAAGTCCTCCCACTTTAGGCTAGCTAGACTACACCATGAGACTTTAAACTTATACGAGCACCTAGTTCATCCGAAGCAAACCTCGATCACTTAGGAGCAGCTCGGCTTTATACTCTGAAATTCCACTAGTGATGTCATCTTCGTCGCTAAAGTTGAGGGAAAGTATTGGTACAGCCCCAGGCAGCGCAACTCAGCCTTTCTCAGTCTGGGAAAGACATTCGGCTTCTTTTGCGGCAAGCAGGTAGAGCGGGTAGCCCTACCGTTTACCCCTCCTTCATCTTCGTCCTTGTCGTGTAATCCTACTTCGATAAAAATTTAGCTCATTGCACTTTTTTCCACACACATGCGAGTTTTTTGCCTTCAAAATATCATAACTTCTTCTGAGATCATTAATTTGAGAAGATGGAACCAGTTTGATAATCTTCAAGGTTCATACTTTCCGAAAAGTGCTAAAACTTTTAAAAGTCACCGATTCAAAAGTTTGCTTCAACTTTTTTCGGAGGATTATTTTTAGAGACCATCTAGTGCCGCTTTCATGCTTTCGTCCTAGCCAAAATAATTCTATGAGATTCGAATTTTTATGCATTCTGAACGAAAAATACGCGGAATTAAGGTGCGGACGGCGCGCTCGCATAACCGCTCCCGTCCCACGCGGTGCAAAATGCCAAAACACGTCAACGTGTTAACGAAAGCGTGGCGCGGTAACGCACCTCATCCAAGTCATCCCTGTTTGTAAAATTTGCGCGATTTCTTCCTAAGTTCTCTGTACTCGTTCTATAGATACATGAACGTAATCAGAGGCTGCTCCATAAAATCCTTACCAGGAAAGGTCATTAGGCCAACCCGGCCAAATGAAATGAGGTGCACATTTCTGTATGGAACATCAAACGCTGAAGTTAAATCTGCTAAACTCTTCTCTAAAAAGATTTACGGAGGGCTTTTGTAGCCGCTCTTGATTTTCGGTGTCTTGCCTGCAATCACATGTTAGCTGCATTATTAAAGGATCGAAAGGAGAACCGAGGCATCGATGGGACGAGCTTCGGTAGCGCAGTTGGTAGAAGTCTTGCTTCTCATGTAACGGGTCGCGGATTCGATTCCTCCTGAGGTTTAGTGTTTTGCTTTTTTTCCAACATGGCTGAAAAGCTTTTTTGAATCCGCTATTTTAACAACGCTCGTCCAACGGTACATCTACGGAGAGTTTGCAAGCAGATCCTCTTAAGTTTAAGCACTACTTGCCTGCGAGTGCACATGGTGCTAGTAGTGCAAGTGCTATACTTTATCGTGGCAAGTAGGCATAATATTTGTATTCAGGAGATCAAACTACCCCCAAAAAAGAGTTTTTCGCCAAAATTGAGGTTATGCACTAATTGGGAAAAGCGGAGCAATGATAGGACTACCACTCCTCAAACTCCACTTTTTTGGGTTGGCCAATCATGGACGACGGGAAAAGGGGAGAGATGGTGTGGTGTTAGGAAATAATGCTTTGCAGACCTTTGGATGATACAGACGGGCAAGGCAGGCACCATTTTTGTCTAATATGAAAAGTGTTAAAAGGTTTATTCTACACAAGTACCAGCCTTTTGTAATGGATTGGTGGATCGGAGAGTATGACTGTCCAAATTTACGAGGTGTGGTCGAAATTTCAGAATTCGCTAGAAGTTTGCTCAGAGGGAAAGTCTGGCTCCCTGATTACGAACCTCATACTTGTTCAAAGCAAAAATGCCTGGCGCCCGCGCTACAAGCACCCAAAGTAATGAGAAGCGGTGCCGTCCAAGATCGTTGGTTATTATCCTTAAATTTTTGTACTGTTAACTATCCGCAAGCATGTTGAACTAGCAATGGTGAAGTCTCCCTAGCTATCTTACTGTAAGTGGCAGAAGGACGAACTCGCCAGAGAATCGATCCTCTGACCTCTTTTTCGTGAGCCTCGACCACAGCTTCTGCGTTTTTCTGCTTCATAATTTTTTTCAGAGAAGAGTTCAGCCGACAAGGAACCCATATTTGAGCTCAACGTCTCAAGGCGCGTACAAATATACATCTCGTTTCAAGTGGCCGGGTTGACCAAATGACCTTTCCTGGTTGGATATGTCTTAGTTTAGCGAAGGATTCGATGCCTTCCTCCAGTTCATGTCGCATTTAGTTGGCTGACAACACAACTCAGTAGGAGTTCGACTGCATGGATCCTCCTGGCACAGGAGCGATTTTTCAGTATGGTCGTTTGAGTTCTACCGTAAGCGCATTCTTGGTGGGGCGTGCAGTGCCACATGTTCTCGATTTGCTTTCGTCGTTTTCTCTGCACCGAGCGATGACGAGAATGTGGCCGTCGGTTGTACGGAGCGCCATCACTGTAGAAACTGGAGATGGCTAAAGGTCGATTCTGCCGCAAGAGGCGCGGCCTTAGGTGGGGAGCTGCACCCTTGCGAGGCAATAGGACTTCGTGCGACGTCCGCCCCGTTGCGCGGCGTGATGAGCGTTGCGGATACTTTGGAGCGCTGCCTCCTGGTAGTCGCGAGAAAAGGCACCAGATTGCCCCAGGCCTAGTCCCAATCAAACGAACAATGTTCAGGGGAGCAGGTCCAATTGCGCACTCCAATGATCGACTGCACGACCCAGTGCAACGTGATACGGTGGAGCCTAGGAAACCGTACTGATAAATCGCTTGTCCCTCTGGTGAGTAGGATAAAGTTGTTTATACAGGTCGCAGACGCCCTATACTCAAGGGTCTGAAGTGCGCACCAAAAAAGCTAGGGCATTCAATGGCTGGCTTAACCGCTTCATTTTCTCCTCCGCAATACGCCAGCAGCTGCGATGTTCCACTACGCTTTACACCTACGTCTTATACTCTGATCGCACTGCTGTCCCTAGCACAGAAGTCAACAAGCCCTTAGCTCTGCCATTCCTACCGGATTCTTCTTCTCAATTTTTTTTCCGCTGGCCTGGCTTCGAACCAAAGCTTTAATTTTGACGTATAAGAAGCACACTAGTTTGATCTCAACGCGCGCCCTTGAAAGCTTTCTCAGAGCAGTTTATACTGAATGAAAAGGAGAGTTCAAACTTTATTCATTTTGGCAATAATAGGACAAATGTTTTGAGTAAAATAGTTGAGCGGTTTAATTATCGGTGAATCAAGATTATGAGAGTGATGATGAGGGATTTAAACATGTCATATTGGCTATTAATTACTGAATCATTATTGATAGAACATTTTCAGAAATTTAATAGTAGTCCTGCATTTAGTTTCTGTATAGGCAAAAATCATCTCTGATAATATGCTAATTCAGCGGACGGTTTTCGCTCTACCTTGAGTATCCTTTGTCCGGATGTGCTCATGGAACTTAACTCGCCCTGAAAGCACGATTTATAGCTTGCTCTAGAATGATTAGGATTGATAACAAGGCAACCTGCAAAATCAGATTAGATTCAGCAATTGCACTTCACTGAGGCATCAAGTAGTAATCATATCAAATATAATTTTTCTTACGTTCTAGGTTGAGGCAGCCAATACTTACAAAACTAATCGTAAGTACACAGTTGTAACGTGCTTGATTTAGTGATTGCATACTGATAGTTTCCATTCAGATGTAGCATTTCATTCGCCATTTTGCAGCACAAATCAACACATCATTCTGATGTGTGGACCTGTGGTGCGCGATTGCGGAGAATTTGCTACACAGTGGAGTACGCAGCGAAATTTGCGCGGGAAAATGAAGGCCCGGAGAGTCACGCTGTCTCGTTTTTCCTCAGTCTTCAATTTCCTCGTCTACCACGTGCCCGCTTGTCCGGATCTGCGTCGCCGATTCATCTGTCATCGTCGTCATCCTAAATTCCCTCTGGACGTCGAGTATCACTGGTAGGGCGGCTGTTGTGAGTAATTTCACAGTGTAATTTCTCTGGTATCCTCACCAGATTTTTCCCTCCTTGCTTATCGTGTTTATTTTCGCGAGTTATTAAGTGAGATCATATTTTTTTGGTGGAACGAACCTTCAACTGTTAGTAACTTCACACATCTTGTTCGCCGAAAAAAAAGGTTTTGTCCTCTTTCGCGTCTATCGGGCTACGTTAAATCTCCTTGGAGTGGCCTCGAGTGCTTTTATCGTGGCGCAATAGTGGCGAGTAAGTGGTTTTCCGGAAGGAAAATCCAACTCACTGAGTCAGTATGGCGTCGAGCTCATAGGAGCAGCGGCAGGAAGAGGTAGTCGTTCCCAAGATTTCAAGGCTCATGGATAGTGTGCTAAGTGGCCTAGAAGGTGAGGAAGTGTTTGTATACATTAATGATATTTCAGGAGCCACGGAAAACAAGCAGAGGCATCTCGAGGTGCTTAAGGGAATTCTTGAAGCGTCACAGCGAGCCAATCTTTAGCTGACCCAAAAATGTGTGCTGATGAGTTACAGAGTGTCATTTTTAGGGCACTAGTAAATTGGAGAGGGGGTTCGAGCTTGCCCAGACAAGACAGAAATACAGCAGTACCCAAAGCTAACTGGGGTGCGCACATGCGGGTGTTACAGAAAGTTTGTGCTGGGTCTTCAGACCGCCCGCCCACTGTTTGACTTGACGAGTCGAAAGGCTTTATGGAATTGTGGCGCAAACATGATGAAGCCTTCAAGAGTCGAAGACGCGGCTCATCGCGACCCCTGTGCTGGCACAACCAGGTGTGGAAGCTGCTCGAACAGGAGAGAGGCTATGATTGTTGATTGTTAGAACAGATATTGGTCGCTGAAGCGCTATTGAAGAGGCACAATTTTTCATAGAGAGTGCTGCGCTTGGCGTTATAGGTACAGCAGTACAAGCTGACAGTGCAATACGTCAAGGGGAAGGCCAACGCCGTTGCTGATGCACTGTCAAGGAGTGTACCGGTCGATGGAGAAATGGAGGAGGCGGTGAACCCTGGCGAAGATAAAATTGTGTGCATGATGAACGAAGGACGCGGACGTGCTGGTTGGGTCCAAACGCAAGCGGCATGAGATATATGCTTGTGCTGGTCGAGCAGTTTTCCAAGTGGCTGGGAGAGTACACCATGAAGAATAAGGCAGCAAAACAGTGGCGCATGTGATACTACAGCGCTATTTGTGAAGGGGGCCGCTGGCTGAAGCAACTACATACGTATCAAGGAATGGAATTCGTTAATGAAGTGGTTGATGAGCTCGCGAGGGTTTTGGGAATAAATCACACATCAGCGGGTATGGCGCTCGCGAAAATGGAGGGTGATTTGGAGTATACAGAGAATTCTGGAAAAGAAAATTGAGTTTCCGGACTACTGGGATGTACTATTAACTATTGTGGTTTATGCATATAACGCGACACCACACACGGCCACAGGAGAGAGTCCTTTCTTCTTGCTCCATGCGTTTTACTCGACTTTGCCATTAATCTCGGTCTCTGAGAGTCGTCTAAAATTGGAGCGTATAGATGTGGATGATTACAAGTCTGAACTGATTCGTGGTATTAGGCTCATACAAAACGAAGTAAAGCAGCACAACGAAAGGTATCTTCAGAAGATGAAGCAATACTATGACGAAAGGAAGGGGGTAAACAACCACCACAAGTCCAAAGTATGCGACAGAGTATTCATGAGAATGCCCAGGGAAAAATACGTGATCGAACTCCCTGAGCTGGCAGTTGACTGGAGTGGACCTTTCAGGGTTCTTGAGGTCACTGATAACTCGGCGCTTATAAAAACTCTGGCCGCCAATGAGGACCTTAGTCGCGTCCAGTTTGACCTCTTAATCAAGTGCCCGAGGGAGATAGATGATGAGTCAGTTTGTGTGGTGACTAGGAGGAAGAGGGGAAGAAACCCAGAGACAAAGGGGTGGTACAAATGACAGCCGAATCAGTGCTGGTGTAAACATCTGTTTCAGGGCTGTTGATGAGTTCGACGTCAACGACACCATGCACTTTCTTCATGTGATGTTTAAATGACGGGCAGCCGTTCCCAACCGTTGATGGTCGCTCTGGTTTCAAGCTCGATCAGTGTCGCTGTGTCGGTGTATTTGTGTGAGAGATTTACTGCCGACAGTCCCACAGCCAGCTCGTTAGGAAAGGGTAGCATGCGTGCTCAATGCTGCGAGGATTTTTGCGATATGGTAGAGCACTGGCTCCATAACTTTCAAGGTTAATAGGATCGTGGACAAATTGTTCCTGGCTATTAGTCAGGCCATCGGAAAGGAGTATGCATTTTTTTCGGTATCGCTGATTACACGTCTCTATAATGGCAGGACTGGTTCCACAGGAATCGGTTGGTGCGATCTTTGCGGTTTTAACACATTCACGCCGAAGGCCGCCTATATGGGCTGCCGACAACATGCGCTCCTGGTACGATGGCAGCCCATATAGGCTGCCAACTAATAATCGCTTGCTAGGCGCTGGGAATGAACAGATAGTGGGCAAACCTCGTAATCGAGTTTAAAATGTTGACACTAGAGCGTCCATACTCGCAAGTATCGTGTGGGGTGGGACGGGGACATTGTTGGTGGGTGATTGAACGTGATTGCATCTGATGAGGGCTGATAAGGCGCGTCAGCACGCAGAATTCGTCAATTCCGTTACGTAGCTTGCGCTGACACTAGAGCGTCCATACTCGCAGGTGTGATGTGGGGTGAGACGGGGACATTGTTGGTAGGTGATGGAAAGTGGTCAGAATTGATAAAGGCTGATAAGGCGCGTCAGAACGCAGAATTCGTCAATTCCGTTACGTAGCTTGCGCTGACACTAGAGCGTCCTTAGTTACAAATTCTATTTGTAGTGGTACGTGCAAAAAAAATCTGTCACGGAGAAAGTGAATAATTGCTTTCTTTTCGTAACCACTATTTGTCGTTCTGATCGAAATCCTACTGTTATACGTTCTTTTCTTCCTCTTTGAGAGCCGAACTATGAAAAAGTTGTTTAATTCTCCACCAAAACTGCTCATAAAAAAGCCCTGCTACCCCATCGTCCACAAAAAAAAACTCGTTCAAAAAGTATAAAAGTAAAAAAGTCAAAGAATGATCATTAAGGACGAGTCCTGTCAAACGAGCAAACGAGAAACGGAGCAAAAAACGTCAAACTAGTCACTAGAAATGGCGTACTATGACAACACCTCTTCTTTGTTTATTTCCTCCACAAGACTTACCATATTGTAGTACTACACAGATTATGGTTCTCAATTTACACGTCCCCCTTCCACTCAAAGAAAGCCTTGTAGAAGCCTTCGCCAGCTGTGTGTCGTGGACTTGGGTTGACCGTGGAGCAGCTATATTTACTGTTGAAATTTGAGACAAATATTCAATGATTATAACTTTCTCTCAAAGTTAAGCCGAATTTTTCAATCTGAAAGCTGATTTGGGAGTTCTGTGAAAGACGTTTTTCTAATTCAGTCACTGAAATTACAGAAGTTATAAGAAATAACAACTTAGCATCAAATAACGAGGAGAAATTCGAGACGAGCCAGAGTTTTGTACACTTTCCGGAGGCAATAACTTTGCTTCATTTCCGTCAAATTTCAAAAAGTTGATACGCCATCCACAAAACTAGAAGATTTTCTCTATGAAACGGGTTGCTAAATTAGCTTCATACGTCCAGTACTCAGGAAATGGCCACGTTGAGGATTTTGCAAAATTAACGAGGAAAATTCGTGATGATGCGAGTTTTTACGCTTTCCAGAGCCATAACTCCGTTCAAGCTCATGCAACTGGAAAGTTAATACGTCATCATACAACTAAAGAGAGTTTGTCTTTCTAATTGGCATCTAACCTGCAAATACGTTCACTATTTAAATGGCTTGAGGATTTTGCCCGAGTACCGCTGAAAGGTACTTTTTTGCTACATTAGCACTATCCCAACGACTATAGCCTGGTTGTCAGGGAGCGATTACATACTGAAGTAGGATTCAAATCCTCGTGCTTTGCTCTCTGCAAAAAGTTTAGACTTGTTGAGCGGGTCTCAACTTTAAAGGTTACATGCTTGTGAATTTGACCGCTGGCGGCCTGCGTTTCTTGTTGAATAGTGTACTCCTCTCTGGTAATTTAACATGAACTCTTTCAGAACCGCTCTGATTCTTCTGAATTAAGATTCGTTATCAAGATAGCCGTAGCTGAGAGCGCGCGCCAACCAAACTGGGCCCACTCTGGATGCGCCGTGTGCTTCACATCTCGTTGGATTTTGAGGACCTAAACTTGAAAGATAAAATAGATAAAATACCCCTAGAAAACGTGGGAATTTCGGATCCTTTGACTTGTGTGGTGATAAAACACTAAAGTCACTCAGAATTGCTAAGCGGACACATCTAAATCACGAAGATTTTGTGTGGACGGAATCAATTGTTATTGGAAATACTCTGGCCTGGTATCGTTTCGATCCTTAATGTTTGCCCTCCGACGATGATCCTTCTGTATCAGACGGGCCCGATCTCTCCCCAGCGGGCCAATACGACCCCCCCCTCTGTGACATGTCGAGGATTCCTCAACGCACGCTTGACCCTGCTACCACGACGTTAGGCGGCGGATTGGAACCTGGATCTCTTCCACCATGTTGCACCTGGACCATATCTTGGATTTCCATTTCTTACACCGAATCTCGCTTCCATTATAATTCAATAAACACTTAGTTGCTCAACTGTGTACGCTAAACTTTCTTAAGGAAAACTGAGACGTCGAAAAAAACTTGGTAGGTTTCTGAAAGTAGAAATCTTTTTGTAATTACCATGTATCGGTTTACTCAGAACTTTGAAATTCCTTCTGTTTAATGAATAAAACTTCTTTTTTTTCCTAGATTCCATCCTCTGAGCGAGACAGAGCGCGCGGATTGACCACGGCCCACATTTCTCCATGTTGGTGATTGCCCACACATCAATGATGAGCACTAAATTATGTGGGGGGTCGTACCGATACCCTGCGAAAAGGAAGGGGGTCGTAGGAATTTTGGAATTTGCGCAACGCAGGGTTGACCCTGCCCAGAAGCCTTCACAGCCGAGGCATTGATAAGCTAGCAGGTGTCTAGAACAAGTCGTGAATAAGTTTGAAGTTTGTACATGACTATTTGATTTTATAGTATTCTGAGAGAATTTGTTTCCCGTAATAATATGGCCGTTGTCTTAGACAGCACAAATTATCACAAGGGTCTTGTTGTATTCTGCAATATACCGTGCTCGTGAAATGGTATTGGTTATAAAGTTTATTTCAGGGACTGATTCGTTTACTTACTATATTTTTACTCACTTAAATATTGTAAAGCGCGTAACTTCCGCTCACACCTCACCTAAATAAATCCACTGTCGAGCGGTCCACGTTTGAAAGCCTACTACATAGTTTTAAATCTTCAGCAAAGATCCCCCTTGTACGTCATATATGGCTCCTCCTTGCTTCCTCTGCACAGCTTGCTTTTACTCCATCATTCATTCAACTATAAAGGGATACGTAGATGGACTATAACGCTTCTCAGTTACGGCGCACTTGGCACTCAATAAAATTGCGAAAGTGAGTGTCGCATGTCTAATCCCTTGCTCTCCTAATATCAATTACCAGTTTTGCTCCGCCCGCTATCGCGCGCATCACACGGCAGGCTTTAGCGAAATTGGAGGGTCCATGGAACGTCAGCATGAGACGCTCCATTAACCATCTCACTATTGACTGTGTTATACCTTTCCCAAATTCGCTGAAGTCCATCGAGGATATGCTTGATAACGTCTGGAGCTTAATTGGCATATTTGTCTCACAACTGTAAACATCCACCATTCTTCTTGAATTCAGATAAGTTAGCGGTGAATAGGATTACTGTCAGTCTCAAAATCAAAACGAAATATGCATCCTACTATATATACGGGGCTAGCGTGTGTCTGTTGGTGTGTGTGTGTTTGACCGGAAATTCGATAACTTCGCTCCCTTTGGACGCCAGGAGCTCAAACTTTCTAGGCATATATGGGGCGCTGGACACAAACAGCGATGATGGTGGCGGAAGTGATAACGGTCCCACCGATAGGAACGATACCCGGACGGCCGAATGATGATGTCATCAATTCCGTTAACGGCCGTCTGCGTTACGGTGATGCATGGTATGTGGGGTGAGGCGGGGAACCAACAGTTTGAAGTGAACGAATGTGGTAGCAACATGATAGAACTGATAAGGGCGTCCAAAGCGTGGATACCAACAGTTTCGTTGCGGCCCTCGCATTACATTGGAGCCTTGGCTCTTCACATGTGTATAAATAGGGGATGGGACGGGAACACGGATAGTGGATATCAGAAGTGATAAACAAGGCGCATAACGTTGCATAAGGAAGCTAGGATATTTTATACGCTAATTTCTATTGTAGAGCCTTCGTGTTGACAAAATCACGAGGGCTCCTGCAGCGTTGGGCCGTGGCGGGTGGGGATGGGGACAACGATTGCGAGCAGTATGAAATGATAACAAATGACGCAGGGAATGATATGAGCGTCTGTTAATGCAGGTCTCTCGCAATTTGCTAATAACCAGATTAGTCCCCCCGTCAACCGCCGGGACTTCCTTTCCTGCGCAAGCTTTCTATCTCCGCTAAGGGGTCCCCTTCCTCCTGTAACACCATACGTACCTCGTGGAAGTGACGCGATGCATACACAATGGTAGTTTCCAAACAGTAGAAGGGACACAATGCAATGATTATGACGGTAAGAATTTTCGCTTCGCCTCCGCTCAGTCCTTCCTTCCTCTCTACTGCCCTCCAGCTGCCACTGGCAGCACCAATGTGGAATGAACGGACGTCGTGTCTAAGGCAGGTGTTTATTATAGCCCTAAGAGTGTTATCACAACTACTCCTGCTACAAAACATTGATATCTCAATCCTGTAAGCTACCCGATATGTTACGGTTTTGTTTATCCCATGAAGCTTTTTCCTTCTCTACGTCACTTCATTTGGACGGGATTACACAGACATTAGAAAAAAAAAAACAAAAAAAAAAAAAAAAAAAAAT